TCTCATCGGTGTTTCTAACTCTCTATCTCTCTCCCTTCCTCTCTGTGAAAAATCAATAAAATATATTTTTTTTAAAAAGACTGTGGGCTCTGGAGGCAGGTTGGAGTTCCTACCAAGTTGCTCCATGCCTCAGTTTCTCCATCAGTAAAAACGGAGATAATATTAGTACTAACTTCATAAGATTACTGTGAAGATTAAATGAAGTATCTGACATGTTTAACACAGAGCTTGGCTCATATTCACGAACAATTATTATTTTTAGGGCAGGGAAGTAGACTAAATTCCTTGGGCAGCAGGAAGGAAGGGAAAGAATAACCAGTTATGAAGTTACTCCTCAAATAAGTCCTTTCTCTTTAAGTGTTTAACTTTTTTTTTTACACGGTTTAACTGTAAAGCAAAGTGTAAGGGATGACTGGAAGATATCATGGTCTGTGTGCTCATTCATTAAGTGCTCTCTCTTATTTTTTTGAGGCTCTGGACAGAATGCTCCTTTTCCCTCGAACCCTCATGGTCACTTGTGTGGAAAGGAAGAATGGTTCCAGGGCGAAGTGGCCAGTACTGCTTTCTTGGCAGCTATACATATCAGGTATGGTTTCTCTCGCTCATTTCTGGTTTATGTGTCTCTCCCTTTCAGCAGCTCCTTTCCTCACTCCCACTTTGATGAGATGCCTTTCTCAGAACTAAGCAGTGGCCGTCAGGCACACCTCTGTGCGTTATTACAACTGAGGATGTTTATGCAAGAAGAGGGCCAACTAGAACAGTGGGGCTCACTGGTCCCTGTCAATCCCCAGGGGTACACGTGATTTGGAGCAGTAAGGGGGGTGTCTCTCACCCGCTGCTTTTTCAGGGTTGTTGCACATGAAGCATTGCCATGCTCCCGCTGCTTCGCTGAAGCCAAACACGTCAAAGAACCTCACTTCTTCCAGATGGAGCTGTACCTGGTCCAGATCCTGTTTCAGGAACACAAAGCACAGGGAACATCAGCGGATCTGCCTGCTGCAGGGCATCCTGAAACTGGAAAAGGGGCCTTGGACGCAGGATGGCCAATGCTCAGTCTCAGTGCTAAGGACGAGGAGGGAGTGTTGAGAAGACCCCTCTCCCCTCACTGTGGAAAAGAACAGCATCTCAAACTCTTCTGGGAGTGTCTTAAATGCAGTGGGCACGGGCCCCAGGGCTGGGCACCAGGGTAGGTGGTGAGGGGTCAGAGCCTGAAGTACCCAGAATGTTATTGCATCTAGACACAGTGCCAGAATTCCTAAAAAGAAGGGATATCCAGGTGGCAGTGTGGTTAAAAGGAACACTATTGGGGGATTTGTCTTTTAGTTACCCTTGACATGAACTTGAGAATCAATTATCCCTATCAAAAAATTATTTTTATTAGGTTGGTTTGCAGGGGATTGGTGGAAAACATGAAGAAGGGTTTAATCCTTCAGCCCTTGGCCTCAGTATTGCTTTAGTTGTATGCTTTATCTTAAAAGTCTATGCAGATTTTACAATCTAGTCCCTAATATGGCTTTATTGGTCTTAATGGGAAATAATGTCTTAAATTACATGTCAGTAAATTAGTTGACCTTTTCCCCTCCAAATGGTTGAGTAGAATTGACACACCAAGAAGACTGACCATGTTTTATGTGTCCTGTGGCATTGTGCCAGTGTGTCCCTAGTTAAGAGGCAGAGGAGAGAGTTTCCATTACACTGTGAATGGATGGAAAACGATTAGCCTAACCAAATTAAATAGCTCTACTGTCCTCCTGAGGCTCTGCTATTATGCAAATGACGTGTATCCTCTGCTACAGGATGGCCAGAACTGCACTCTTAAAAGGTTGCTTTCCTAAGAGGGAATTAATGTTCTTGCTAGCCTTGCACGTGCCCAGCCAACTTATGTGTTTATCCTCTGTTGAGCTGTGATTTTATTTCTTTTCCGCTGGCCCACACACTCTTTTAAAAAAATATGTTTATTGATTTTTAGAGCGAGAGAGGAAGGGAGAGGGGTAGATAGGAACATCAATGAGAAACATCATTGATGGGTTGCTTCCTGCACTCCCTACTGGAGATTGAGCCCACAACCTCAGAATGTGCCCATACTGGGAATCAAACCGGTGACCTCTTGGTTCCTAGGTTGATGCTCAACCACTGAGCCACACCTGCCAGGCTGGCCCACATACTCTTCTCTCCTACCCATAGTAACATCTCCTAGTGTGTCTAAGAGCTGAGGGGTGAACTGCTTATGGTGGACCTAAAATAGAGGATGATCAAGTAGTTACCCATATTCTTTGGCTGAAATATGGGTATCTACTTGATCATCCTCTATTTTAGGTCCACCATAAGCAGTTCACCCCTCAGCTCTTAGACACACTAGGTTTCCCAGGACAAATGGTTTCCCAGGTCTATATTTGTTGACAAGTGAGAAGTATGCTAGACTCTAAGCTCATTGAGAGTAGACATATATTTACCTTGTTCACAGTTGTATTCCCAGAGTCTAGTCCGACATCAGGAATGGATTAATGTCATTGGTTGGATTAATGTCATTGGTTTGCAGGCCCAGTGAAAAGTTTACGGATAGACTATACAAACAGTATAGTGAGAATTTTAAAAGGTCTTCTTTTTAGAGAACATTCATACTCACTGGAACATAAACCCAACGAGGGCAGAGGTTTTGTCTGTTGAATTGGCTGTTGCAAACTCAGCACCTAAAAGTGCCTGTCACATAAGCAGGCATTACATAAATACATGTGGAATAATGAAAGGTACAAACTGGGACTAGAAATGAATACTTTTCAAACATCCTTTATTAAGATTATTACAGCTCATGTGCTTGGATTGGACGCTTTGGAGGCTCCACATGCTGAACACAGCATTTCAAGTTGCTAACATTTAATACCATATTTTAGGCATTCCATCAGGCACTGTATATACAGAATGTTGTTTCAACAAAAGTGACTTCAAATGTGTTTAATGAAAAAAAGGAGGCTTAAACATTATTTTCTTAAAACCATGTTCCCAAGATAAAGACTGAAGAAGCACCTGGGAGTTTTGTAGGTTTCAAAGGATGAAATCCATATTAAAATTTATGGAGGAAAAACAGATGTTCATAAATACCAGTTTCAAAACTGCTAAGTCTCTGAAGTCTGTACTTGGCCATTGGCATGCAAATCACTTCCCTATTTTCCCACACAATTAGAGTTCAATTTTTCATTCACCACAAACACTGTTAGCAAAAAAAGTATTTAATACTTAAGGGTTCCTTTATTTTTCCTGTCCTGAGACCAGAAATGTCCCAGGTTGTTACCTATAAACCACATTTGTCTTGGTAAAGAGTTATTTAAGAAGTTTAAGGCAGATGGCAAGCTCCATCCCAGTGTTCACGTTCTGAAGGCAAAAGCATGCAGTTACAGATCCTCCCTCTTCAGAGGGTTTAGGTGTCATGCAGAGAGAACTAGTGAAGAAGAGAGATGGTTCTGTAAACTGTTGAAGTCGGCAGAACAGCCAACTTGAATGGAGAGATGGAGGAAATGCAAGCAATTCTAAATATTGGTGGGAAATCAAAGCAAAATAAACCACAAACCAAGCAAACAAACCATCAGCCAGTGATACCTAAATGTTTGAAAATTTGATCTCTTAATAGCCTCGAGGTCATTATTTCTCTACTTAATCTTCTTTACCCTCCTGGGTCCTGTCACTTCCCCAGGCATTGCCCAAGAATTTCTACGCAACTTCCCTCTTTTTTCAAGACAAGAGAACTAAGACGGACTTGATTAGAGAACTGCAAACTTCCTTTAAGACAGCTAGACTCCAGAAGAGTAATAAAAGTCATTCATATCTAAGTAGAGTCAGTCATTCTCTAAGTACTTCATTTCAATGGGATTGCAATGGACAGACCCTAGAGTGACACCCCTCCCCCTAATAATTGTGTTCATCCCTTTGGAGAGTCCCCTGCTCTTAAGAGTGGGAGGGACCTGTGACTTCTTCTAACCAAGAATATGGCAAAAGTGATAGGACATCGATCCTATGATTGTCATAATGTACACACACACACACACACACACACACACACACACACACACACCCCAACCTGTCTTGCTAGATGCAAAGGGAGACTCTCCTCCTGGACTTGAAGAAGTAAACTGCCAAGTTGTGAATGACCCATGGACAGGGCCACATGGCAGGGAACTGTGGGTGGCCTTGCAGGACCTAAAGGTAGCCTTCAGCCAATAGCCAGTAAGAAATCCTGGCCTTCATTCCTACAAACCCCAGGAAATGGTTTCTGCCAAGAACCTGAGTGAGTCTGGAAGCAGATCCTCCCCATTTAAACCTCTAACTGAGAACACAGCCCAGACAATATCTTGTAGCCTTGTGAGACCTGGAGCAGAGGACCCAGCTAAGTCACAAGCAGACTCCTGACCCGAGGAAACTGTGAGATAACAGATATGTGTTGTTTTAAGCTTCTAGGTTTGTGGTATTTGTTATGCAGCACTGAGGATCAATACTGAGATTGTGCCACGAAGAAGGGAAGGTCAACCCTGTTGGCCAATTCTCAATGAAAATAATGATTTTGCTTCGAGGGGACACATTCTTCCCAGAGCACTTCAAATCAGGCCTCAATAAAACCCGAAGAATTTTGAAGTCCAAATTATTTCTGCTGACTTAAAGAAAAATATATGTAACCATAGTAAGAATGCCATTAAGAAGGATTTTTCTAATAAACACCATCTAATTCAGGAGGGGTAAAAGCCCCTGGAGGGAAAATAATGTTTTTAACCAGTTTTAGAAGAAAATCATTAATGAGAGCAGGAATTTGGGAAACTACATAAAAAGTCCCGTGTGAAGCCTCCTCAGGGAAAAATCAGCCAGGCAGCATGGAAAGATGAGAGGATATTTACAACATTATTTTGATGACAGTGACAGCATGAGTCAGCGCTATGGATTCCATAAAAGTGCAAAGTGGCCGCTGGATGTTATAATGTGGTCTGTGTACTGTGAGAGGGCACTGAGAAGCAATTTTCCAAAAGTCAGTGAAAGCATACATCTGGAAGAAGTTTAGATCCTGGCACATTTAAATTCTGTTCTAAAGTTATTTTTGCACAGATACAAACATAGGATTGCCTCATGTGCTCTGTGTGCCTGTGATTAATAGGATCAATTCTAGGCACATACTTTAAGTATGTGTTTAAGAAATATAAAGGAGAGGTTTTTTTTTAGTATAAATAATCCCCAATATTTTCACATAAAGCAGGGGATTATGGCTATTTCCAGTGCACACATTCTAATTATTGGGAGTCCAGGGTGTGAAGTACATTTATTGAGGGAAGAAAATGAATGATTCATTTCTATATTATTCATCTTCATATTATTTATATTGTCCTACATTTGGTAGGCATAGTGTCTTATAAGAAACACTGTAGACTGAATGAATATACTAACAAAAGGACTCTAAAGAATATTTATGGCCTGACTGGCATGGCTCAGTGGTTGAGCATTGACCCATGAACCAGAAAGTCATGGTGCAATTCCTGATCAGAGCACATGCCTGGGTTGTGGGCTTGATCCCCAGCAGGGGGTGTGCAAGAGGCAACCAATCAATGATTCTTTTTCATCATTGATGTTTCTATCTCTCTCCCTCTCCCTTCCTCTCTGAAATCAATATAAATATATTTTTAAAAAAAGAATAGAAGGGAACTTTAAAAAATATTTATGCTACAATTTAATTTTTAAATTTATTTCAATTTCTGAAAAATGGTACAATTGAATTCAATTCATAACACTTAGTCTTTACAGTAACTGGTGTCAGGAACCAAGGACAAATAGATGAAGGAGACACAGTCTTGTATTCTAAGGAAGTGAGAAAGCAATTCATTGGGTCCACACTACTCCTCATGGAGGAAAATTGAAATATACCATTATTAGTATTTGGTTGTGATTGTTATTAAGCTTATTTTGGTATGAATCTTTT